GTGTCCAAACTGGGGCACTTCTGAAGGGAGAAGAGGTCACTAAATGGGTGGAATGTCAGGGCAGCAGCATAGACCAGGATCCTCCTGAGCAAACTGAGATGTGTGGTCTCCCTCCCATGAGGTAGGGTTACCATTTCTCCCCAGCTGCACACAGTGGGACAACAGAGGTCAAGTTCCTTGACCAAGGGCACACAGCTCGTGGGGGGGGCAGAGCTGGGTAAAGAGCCAGGTGTTCCGATATCAAAGACAGGTCTCCTTAGTCTGACCCTTATAGCCCTTCAAGTTATGACTCAGATTGAGTCCTGTGCACTGGACTTGCCCTGTGTCACTTACATCCAGGTTCAGTAAAACATGAGTGGCCAAGAATGGTACATCACTTACTCCCTGCGGAGCACTGGTGACCACTTCTCTTTGTCTTCACAACAACAACCCAATGAGTAGAGTGATGATAGTGGGGGAAGGGGTGGCAGAGCCAGGTAAGGAGCCAGGTGTTCTCATATCAGAGACAGGTCTCCTTAGTGTGACCCTTATAGCCCTTCAAGTTATGACTCAGATTGAGTCCTGTGCACCGGACTTGCCCAACTGCCCTGTGTGGACTCCAGGTAGATGTCTGAGCAGGCCCCACAGTTTTCTCCTCGAGGCCTTTGCTCCAAGTGAAGTCTTCTCCACTGTACTTTCCTGTGTCCCTTTACCTTGAAACTCTTTATTCATCCCCGATGCCACAGCACAGACATTTCTTGTTTTGGACGGTGGCCTTGAATCTCTAGGGATCCCCTTCCCAAGACCCCGTGGCTTCTGGGTGCACCTTTCTCCTGGTGACCAGGACCTGACCCCATGGCCCTTTCCTCCATGTTGAGCCCCTGGAGGTCATGCCCTGCGCTTTTCTGGTTTTTGAGTGACAACAGTGATACAGTAGGTGTCTAATTAGGTGTGTCACTTCTTTAAGGAACAGGATTTGGGATTCTAGAAAAAAATTCTCTGATTACATAACATGTTTACTTATTGGGTCTATTTAGAAAGAGACACACATTTTAACTAGAAACTCTAATAAAGGCAAGGCTCCTACCCTACACTAAACCCAGGCATAAGCCTGACATCCTGGTGCTAACACCGAGTTCTTTGTGTTCCTGGAGAGAACTGTGGCATCACCATAGGTAGGACCAGGTCATGAGAGCAGAAAGTTGGAGCTCTGACATCTAGGCCCTGGGCCACCTCTGTCCTCCTGTTCGTTATCAGTAAACATTAGCTTGATCCCATCTAACCCGGATCCGTCTAATGCCTGGTGACAGGGACCCGGATTTGGAAGCTGATTCAGGATCAGGTGCCACCTCCAGCCAGTTCCCCTTGGCTCCTTCACGAAAACCCTGAACTTTACATAAGTTGATGTTTCCACAAATCGTGTGGTTAAATATTTAATCCCCACACACTTGTGACAGCCCATAGGGCTCATTTGATTTCTACACCATTATCTTCTCATTCTGTTACTAATTTTCCCTGCAGCTCATGTGGAATTTCCTGCAAACCATAGGCCTCCAGTGTGGGAACCCCTGGCCCTTAGCTGAATGGCAAGGGGATTCTGAGAGACCTAAGAATACTTCTTTCCAATGACTTTTTCCCTGGGCTGACTTTCCCCCTCCTTGTTTTCACCCCTGAGGACATTAGTCCATGCCCAGAG